ATGCGAGGTTTACCCCTGAGCTACAGCCCCAGCCCTCCTAAATATCTTAAAGTTGCTGGGCTTGCCAGAAAGTAATGTTCCTTTTATAAGCTGGGAACACCATAAGCCAGGTACTAGGCAGTTTTTCCAAGAGGGCTTTTTAAGTGTTGGCTCTACGGAGTCAACCTTAGGTCCTTAAAAGTGTCCATTCATATTCTGCTTAAATGAGCATCTTTTTCAAATATGAATATGAACAGGCAAGGCCTGTTTACATAACCAGTATTTCCAATAGATATCTTGTTAACAAGGAGGACAGATTCTTATTGAATCTATGAAAATAATTATATTGCTATGAAACTGAGAATACATAGTAAAAGTTTCCATATTCTGGAGTGGTCAAGCAGGGGAAAAGATTTTATTTTCAAATGTTTTGTTTTAGTTTATAAAAGCATGGTATACTAAATATATATAACCCCCCCCCAAAAAAAGAAAAAGGTGTTCCTTAAGTATCTAGAAAATGGTACATTAAAATATCAACATATTCCAAATAAAAGCCACAGTTATCCTACCAAAGTTCATTGGGCTTTAATTAATTAATTTTTGCTCAGCTTCATCTTGGATTAGCAGTCTCTTGAGCCCATCTCATTCTGAAACTCTGGATTTAGCTTGTCATTGTGGTCTCAAAGATTTTTATGCATTGTCATCAAAGCCTGCACTCAAAAGTACCTGGCATTGACTTTTTGTGTGGCTATTGAGACTGTCTTTTTTTTTTTTTTTTTTTTTTGTGAAGACAAAGCATTCAAGCTGATAGCTGAAGCATCAGAATAAAATGAAACCAAACAAAAAAAATTATGTATAAAGTAGCTGTAATTAATTTATTACTGATCATTTCAAAAAATTGATGAAGCCCATAACAAGAATATTGTCACTAACAATTTTGAGCTTATAATAAGAATACTCTAAACTGGTTTGTTTCTGCAGTATAACGAACAAGATAATAAAGCCAACCAAAAAGGTTCTAGACAGTATCAACACAATGATTAGTCCTCTTTTTAAAGAAGACAATTAGTATTTTATTTAATTTATAAAAATAGATGAACATAATCTGCATAGAGCAAGACATCTTCAGATATCACATATAATAATCCTGACAAAATTATATTATTGATATAACAAACAAATCTGTAAGGAGGTTGAGTAAGTTTAGAGTGAGGCCTAAACATATGTATATTAATAAAACTTCATAGGTAAGTGTTGTGAACTTTTAATTGAATACCACTAGCCTACAAAAAGCTAGATTCAAGTTGTAAAGTCTACATTTTTTAAATAATTGAAATTATGACCGATAACACTGTCATGTTGTTGTATAATACCAGGCAGAAAAGCACAAGGACTCTGATAAATAGAAATACATCACACACAAGGGTGGCATGAGCATTTCTCCAGGAATGTCCACTTTCCACCTAGCATATGATTTCTGAAATATTTATATAAACATTTTACACGTACAGATTTAACCGAGGGAAAGCTGAATATCTCTTCCCATTTGACAACTCTTCCCATTCAATCCATCAGTAGTAGCATAATCAAGTAAATCTCAAAATATCTAAGCACTTGTTTTTTTTATTTATATTTAATTTTTTATTTATTCTAATCAGTTATACATGACAGAATGCTCTTCGATTCATTGTACACAAATAGAGCACAATTTTTCACTTCTCTGGTTGTACACGAAGTAGGGTCACACCATTCGTAGCACTTGTATTTTTTTACAAAGTGAAAAGAACAAATGCATTAGGATTTTCCAGGGGCCTTCTGGGAAATTTCAAAGGTGGTCTTCTTGCAAAAGTTATCATGTAGTGTTTGATCTTTGAAAGGCGGAATATCAAAAGTTGTTGGGAGATTTGAACATCAGTTTAGGTAGGATTGTGAGTTATACAGAATAGTACATGGCTACATATTTAACCAAAGTGACAATAATGTATTTTTAAGTTAACATGATTGTAAAATCCTTGGCTCTTTCCTAAGTAAGAAACTTTTTAAAAAAATAATCAAGGATATTACAAAGTCAACATAAAGCATAGGAAATGGTTCTGATAATACACAGAATTTCCGATATCTAGACCAATTACACAGAAAGCAACAGATAACCTTTTACAACCTCTTTTCAAGAGCTGGTGAATAATCCTAGGAATTTTTTCCATTTTAACACAGAGAAAACCAAATTCTATCTTTTTGCAACAGTATAATACTTGAAAATAGCCCCCTCTCTTCTGTTGTAGTACTAGGGGTTGAACCCAGGGCCTTGCACTTGCTAGACAAGTGCTCTTCTACTGAGCTACACCCCAGCCCCTTTTTAATTTATTTTGAGACAGAGTCCCAATCAGATTCCCAGACTGACCTCTAGGTTGAGATCCTCCTGCCTCAATTTTTCCCACACAGCTGAGATTATAGGTGTGTACTCTTAGGCCCAGCCTTAAATGTATGGTTGTTTTTTTTTTTTTAATTGTTAATTCAAGCTAAACAGCTTTGAGCTTGACAAAATTTCCTTTTTAAATTTTTTTGGACTGGGGATTGAATTGAGAGGTGCTTTGCAACTGAGCCACATCCCTAGCCCTTTTTATTTTTTTTTAATATATTTTTTTAAGACAGAGTCTCACTAAGTTGCTAAAGGCCCCCTAAGTTGCTGAGGCTGGCTCAGAACTTCAGTCCTCCTGCCTCATTCTCCCAAGTTTCTGGGATTACAGACAAAATAAACATATTAATTAATAGACTCAATGTATAGCCTCTCCCTCTCTGTATCATATAGAAATTTAAAATATATATAGCAAAGTATGTTTAGTAATCAGAGATTCAGTATTTTGTCTTTGAAATGATTTAGGTTATCTATTCAATATCTATTAATTAACTCCAAGGTTTTAAGTTACTTGAAAATCTTGAAAGTTATCTTTCAAGTTATTTATTTAACCTATTTAAAGTTCATCAAAATAGTGATTCAATTTAATTAAACATTTCTTTATCATCTTAAACATTTAGTAGAAGAAATGCTAGCTTATTCAATTAGAAAACCCATTAAGCTGGGTGCAGTGGTGCACACCTTAATCCAGTGGGAGGCTAAACCTCAGCAATTTAGCAAGACTTTGTCTCAAAAATAAACAAGGGCTGGGAATGTCAGTGGCACGGCATCCCTTTTGTCCAGTACCCCCCACCCCCACCCCCCCAAAAAAAACTTTCTTTCACATTGAGAGCATTTTGAGGTTCAATGTCCTTAACTTGTGGTAATTTTACGAATATTCAGTTTGTCCAAGCACTTGCTTACATCAAAGCCAACCAGAATAGAGCTTCTTTAAGAGACTGTATCAAATTTGGTAATACTATCTGGAGATTATTGCACACATAATGAGAGGGAAAGGCTTTTCTGAATTACAGACCTGCAGTCACACAGAGAGAAAGCTTATAGCTTCAGTTATAAAATCTCAATCATGGGTCAAACAGAAATAGAAATATAAAACTCACCAGTCTGGATATCTGCTTCCCAGTGGGAATGAAATTAGTTATTGATTTGAGCTCAAGATAGACTAAGAGACAAATAGAAAAGACTAACGAATCAGATTCTCTATTATCAACCACTTGACAGAAAAAGGTCTCTATAAACCATTAATCTGTTCACATAGATCACCAAATGGTCACAGCATGAAATAAAAGAAGCCTTCCCAAGAACTCAGATGAAGAAATCAAAACCAAATATTCTCTTGGATCAGAGTCTAGAGCACAGGGCCAAAAGTGGGACATAGTGCTGTTCCCAGGTCCCAGTCAGAAATGGAGCAGCCCTTATCTGAGGGGAGCAAACAGGGATCCAAAGGTGAGCTCCAGTCCTATGCAAGTCCACATATCAAGACTGTGAAGGACAAAATGAACTGGAAAATTAAGGAGATGATTTTATTCAGGGTATTGCTATAGGAATAATGTTCATTAATGAAGAACAACGTAGGGAGAAAACTGGAATTTCATTTTTCTTTTTAAAGAGAGAGAGAATTTTTTAATATTCATTTTTTAGTTTTTGGCGGACACAACATCTTTATTTGTATGTGGTGCTAAGGATCGAACTCAGCGCCATGCTCATGCCAGGTGAGCGCGCTACGGCTTGAGCCACATCCCCAGCCCAGAATTTCATTTTTTTTAAGGGGGAGTCATTGAAGATGGTTAGAAATGCATGCTGTCTCAGGACTTGGGAAGGCAGGTAGTCCTTTGTGGCTAACCCTCTCTCAGAACCCAAAAAGGAATTTCTCTGCTTCCTGGCAGCATAGGGCTTACATGAAGTCCATGTTGTCAGAACTCTTCCATCCACTTCTATAGATTTGGGATTTTTTTTTTTTTTTGCCCTGACAGACCCAAATGTTGTTAGGAAATAGTTTACTATGAATTTAGTTACTTTAATATACATAGAATTATCCAGGTTATGGATTATTGATTAGTCGAGTTTTCAAGAAATTGTCCATTTCATCCAAGTCATCAAATTTATGAGCATAAGATCATGCAGAGTATTATGCCTTTAAAGTACTTAAAGTCTGTTTTGTTATTACTATTATTCATAATTTGGGCCTTCTTTATTTCCTATTTTTTTAAATTAGTCTGACAAGTTTATCAATTTTATTGGACTTTGCAAAGAACTAGCCTTTGGTTGCATTGACTTTTTTCTCTGTTGTTTTTCTTTTTTTAGTTTCACTGAGTCCTTTTATCATTATGACTTCTTATATTCTGCTTTCTTTAGGCTTCTTTTGCTGTACTTCTATTTTCTTAAGGTGCAAGTATAGATGATTGATTCCAGATCTTTCTTCTTTTGTAATAGAAGCATTTAAAGCTATAAATCTTCCTCTATGCATTGCTTTAGCTGTATTTTACAAATTTGGATATGTTGTATTTTTATTTTTATTCAATTAAAAATACTTTAATTTTCTTTGTGATTTCCTTTTTATCTATAGATTACTTTTATTTATTTAGTAATTTTTATTTCTTAACAGTGCTGGGACTGAACCTGGGCCTTAAGCATGGTAAGCACTTGACCACAAGACCATATCCTCAGCTCTAAAGATATGTTTAAATATGTTTTTTGTTTTGTTTTGTTTTAAAAGTATTTTTTTTACTTGTCAATGGACTTTATTTTACTTATTATAAGTAGTGCTGAGACTCAAACTCAGTACCTCACATGTACTTGGCAAGCACTCCACCACTGAGCTATAACCCCAGCCCTTTTAAATGTGTTTTTAGATTTCCAAATATTCAAGATTTTTCACGTCTTTCATTGATTAACAGTTTTATTTGAATATAGTCAGAGAACATATTTTATATGATTTAGTAGCTTTAAATTTGTTAAGCTTAACTTTTTAGCCCAGAATATAGTTAATCTTGGTTAATGTTGGATACCAGTTTCATTTTAAAAGGTCATTGTCCCTTCTGTATTAAGAGAATAATTATGAGTCCATCAAGAACTGAGCTGAGCTGGAGAGAGCAGAGCTGCCAAGTGTTGAAGTGATCTTTTAAGACAACAAGCCAAAATGAAAGAGTAGTCATGTGTCACTTAATGACAGGGATGCATTCTGAGAAGTACATTGTTAGATGATTACATGGTTGTGTGAACATCATAGTGTGTCCTTACAAAATCTAGGCTCTATGCCTAGGCTATACCAGATATATATACATACACACACACACACATATATGTATATATACATATATACATATATGTGTGTGTATATATATATGTACACACACACACATATATATATATATATATATATATATATATGCATGCATATCTCACATAACTCCTAGGGCCACGATGAGCAAAACAATAAGATTAAGTCAAGCACTGGAGAAAATGTTGCGTTCAAGAAATGTGGTAAACACAAAATATATGATATGGCAGCCACATAACACAGCACACTGTTTTATAGTTATATGTAGTATACCTGTATACATATAGATAAGTAGAAAGAGTATGCTCTGAAATAATGATAAAGAGCACAGCGTGGTAAATACATAAACCAGTACTTGGTCATTTATCATCAGTGTCAAGCAATACGCACTGTACATAATTATGTTGCTAGACTTTCATGCAGCTGGTTTGTTTACATCAGCATCACCGTAAACACATGACTGATACATCACATTGTGATGTCACTACAACAATGACATTACTGTATGATGGGAATTTTTCAGCTCCATTATAATCTTTATGGGACTCCCATTGTATATGTGCTTATGATTATTCAGTTCATGACTGGTAACAGCCACACCTTTAATCACTTACTGTAACACTGCAAGCAAGAGGCACCAGTTCCCCCAATGTTGTCCCCCCACTCAGTGAAGCAGTACCAGTCCAGGGGCTGATGTATCAGTACAGACAGTGGCATTGTAGCACTGCTAAGGAAGTTCTGAACAAAAGGCCCCTGCTGTTTCTGGGACCCAGGGTCCTGGGTGGCGAGCAGGGGAAGGGATGGAAATGGAAAAGCACTGGAGATTTGGGGGGAAGAATATCTTTGAAGCTCCTTTCTTCTCCTGGATAAGGTCTCTGCAGAGTCACCTGGGGAAAGTAGCCCTTGACCAAACACCCTGGACAAAGAGGCCTCTTCATGGAGGCAGCACCTGTACTAGGAGTTGCAGATCTGTGTAAAAGTCTGACTGAACCAGAGTCCCAACCCTCATGCAAAGCTTCCCAAGGGACTGCAGTGCAATGGATGAGCACCAAATCTGTTCTGGGGAAGTAAAGCTTTTGCTTTATATGTATCGTGTGTGTGTGTGTGTGTGTGTGTGTATGATCTATCTATCTATCTATCTATCTATCTATCTATCTATCTATACTGCCTATGGTGAAGCCTAAAATAACACACAACGATCGGGAGCCAGGAGCTGGACTCCTTATTCTTTTTGGTTACCTAAACCTAGACATAGTGGTGGCCATAAACTAAAACACTATCAATGGGGAAAGATAAGCAGATTGACTTCAAAGATGATGAGGAAGTGGTGTTTCCAGCACTGGTGTAACAGATTAGTTCCATAGTTTGGGGTTCCTTGGAAGCAGACGCAGACAGAATTTAAAGTGCAGGATGGCTATGAGAGGGAGGGGAAGGAAGTAACAGAGGGCCCGGGGACAAGTCTCTTCATCCACAGTGCAGACCCAGTGGCAGCCTTCACCAACTTCTCGGGGTACCAGTGAGCTAGAATTGCCCTTCAAAGTTGCCTCAGTTTGGACCAAGACAGTCAGCCGCCTCTATCCTTCCCTGTCAGCCTGCCATTGGACGTAGGCCACTCAGTGAATAGGCAGCAGTGAAGCCTGTCTGTCACAGCATTGCAGCACCAGGCAGTAAGCCCTCCTAAGAGAGGATCTGAGTGTTGTACCAAGGAGCAGAAGAGAGGCATCTGCCACATCCAAGAGGTTAACTTGAGTGCCTGGGGAATGGAGATGTTCACTGAGGTACATAGTCCAGGACAGATAGGCTGGGGGAAGAAGGTTCCCTGTTCACTTTGGGACACAATGATAACTTGGGACTTCATCAACAGTGAAGATCAGGCCCCCTTCTTCCAAGGGCACAGGAAGCTACTTGTGCTCATCATTTTTTTTCCCTGTATTTTATGATGCTTTGGTAATGTGGGGCCTTGCCATCTCTGGAGAGACTGCCCCTCCCAGGGCTAGCTAATTCCTGTAGATGGCAGTCATTTACCCAGAGTGCATCTCAAATGCAAGCCACCTTCTCTAGATCTCTCATGTGCTCAGCCACTGTTCCTCTGCCCTAATCCTCCCAGGGAACCACCACTGGGGACAGCTCCTACAGCCCAGAGCTCAGTGAAATTCAGATTAGCCCATCTTACACTGTTCCCTACCTCACCTTTCCTTCCCACAGCATCCACAATAAAGACTCTCACCTACATTCTTCTTGACTCTTTTTGCCTTCTGATCAACCCTGTTTCTCCCCCGTATGATCCTGCATGTAGGCCATGTCTCTGGTTGGTAGAGATCTGAGTGTAAACTTTGACCTTCATGACAGTCATTTCTGACTCTGTGTGTCTTAGCATCCCTGATTAAAACACACCTTGGGTACATTTAAAAGCCTTGGGAGTAATTACTCAAGTGATCTTGGCTTTCCATGCTGGTATGTAGGCAACTCTTTCCCCACCAGAGCGCCCTCAGCAGTCAGGAGTGGGAGGACACTGCTAAGTGGATAAGGGGAGGGGTACAAGGCAACTGCCATTTTAACTGAGGACTGTTCTGTTTAATCCTCATTGAAGTTTTATTTTATGGGTAAGAAGAATGGCAGTTCACAGAAGTGAAGTGCCTGGCAAGTGATGGTTACTTCATCTGTTGGTTGTTTAAGTAGCTTAGGTTTGATTTCAGGTCTGCTTGATTTTGGTGTTTGTTCTATTCTGTCAGCCCCTGATCTGAGGTCTCCAGAGAACAATGACAAGTTGATGCATGAAGTGGTTGCCCAAGGCAATGAGTGAAAATGAAACTAGAGTCATGCTCCAGCATATCCTAGGTGTGTAACCCAGAGCATTAGTCTTGAGGGGCTATAGTAGGGAGCCTTGTTTTACTACAGTGAACACTAAAGGCAGGTAACTTTATGAAGAAAAAAGGTTTATTTAGCTTACAGTTTTGGTAGTTCAAGGCCCAAGGTCAGTGGTCCCATTTATTTGGCCCCGGAAAGGCAGCAGATGGCAGCACGTCATGACAAGAATGCTCATGGCGGGAAGAGCTTATATCTCCAAGCAGGAAGTCAGAGAGAGACCAAGATCACACACACTCTGCCACAGGCACATCCCCAGTGACCTAAGGGCCTTCTACCACCTTCCAACAGTGCCACCCTGCAAACCAACATTTTGACCACAGTGGGCCCTTCAGGGACACATCTGAATCATATCCAAACCTTAGCAGGGATGTTGAGTAGAAAAAGGAATTAATGGGTCCAATAAGCTTGAAGAGTACAAGTTAAGTCTCACAGAGCCTATGATATTCTTATATGCATTACAGAGCTCTCAAAATTCATCTGACCAGAGAAATGTGTGTTGGTGGGGGGGAGAGGGCAATGTCCATGTGTGTGTGTTGGATGTGTATGTTGTACATGGGTGTCTTTTCCTTTCTCTGCATCAGCCTCCTTCATCTGCATTGGAAAGCAATAACTTCCCCAGTCACCTGAGGCAGCCACAGAGTCCAAGGTCAGATATGACAGTCTTTCCACAAAGAGAGGCCAAGTCTCTCTCATTCTCAATTCCAGACCCTGGGGGAGGATCCTGGCTGCCTTAACATGTATAATCACCTGAATCCTGCACAGTGTGAGGCCCTTTGTGAGCTAGACAGATGGCACTCCTAGAGGCGTCTCCTCTCATTTTAGTGAGTCTAGCTAGTTTCATTTTCAAATGCTTCTAGTCTCATTTAAAAATGCTATTTATACATGTGAAGCAGAGAAGATACAGATTGCTAGAAAGCATAGCCCAGACAGGGTGCTGAGGCCTTGAAAGGGAAGAGGCTCCTGTGCTGAAAGTTGACTGGGATTTGAACTACACGCCTATGGAAGAGCAGCTGTTCTATCAACAGGAGACAGCAGGGGGCCACAGGACAGAGCCTAGGACCCTCCACCAGCAACCATGTGGAGCCCAGCAAAAAGCACAGAGATCTCACCAGCAGGATATGCTAAATTAGATCCATGCCTCCACTTCATTCACACCTCTGCTTCATTTCACATGGCAACCATCTCCCCAAGATAGTGTAGGATTTTAAAGGGGCTACATGTGAGATACAGAGGAAATTTTGGGAACTAAGTGGCTTAATCTTAGTTTGCAATTCCCTGCCCTCCAAGGACTTCCCTTTTTGCTGCCTTTAGCATTCAACAGGCCTTGAAGCATTTTCTTCTCTTTACTCCCTATATCATCAAAAGTGCCCTGGCTCACAGGGCTTTAGGTGGTCTGCACGGGCAGGAGAGATGAAATTGTGGGGAAGCATATTCTCAGTACTGAAATGCAGCAGGGGTTGAGAATCATTGAACACATTATCATTCCT